CCTAATATACAGACTTCGAATGGCAGAAGAAATTACAACTAAAATTAATTTAAAATATTAAATAGATGTGTGCGTGTGATATGAAGAGAAGCAAAAAATTTGATATAAAAAACCTTAAGCCAGTCGAACCCAATATCGAATTCTCAGTATAACTGAATATTGTAAGAACAAAGGCCAACAGAACCCTCAGAGGGATACTTATAATAAAAAAAGAGTCCCACATTTAGCTTCAAGTTGAATCATTACCGTGACTCCGCCGGATACGGTATCGAAGCCACTTAAACGGCTTTATCTCAACTAAAATTGGTAAAAAATTCACCTAAGCACGCACATTGTAATTGAAAATGCTACAAAGGTGTAATAAGTCATGCAAATAAGACAGTTTTTTTCGAGCCCGTAGTACAGCAACGACCAGTGAGGTCAGTTCACCAAATTGCAGAAATTTTTTTAGATTTAGGTTTTTATTAAACACTGCCTTAACGAGGGAACAAATGGCCTCTAAAACTTGATTTAAAAATAATTTGGGTGTAAAACATCAATTTGGACAATTCTGCTAATTATTTGTACGTGTCGGCAGTTAAGGTTCCAAACATTCGAAGTGGATGTAATACCAAACGATTGTAAATAAGAATTTGAGCGCCAATATCGGTTGATAATGATATTTAAATGCCCGCTCAAGAAGAATAAATCTTTAGGGAATTATATAAATACAATCAATTGTTCTAATGGTCTAAATGATAGGTGCGTGCAATTTAGGAAGAATAAAATCGTTAATTGTTCATTCCAAAGTGAGTTCAGATTTTTTGTACATTGTATTTTTAATGAGGTAATTTTTCGGACCCACTTAAAAATTCAGCGCTTCAAAAATTAGTAACCCGATTTGCCCTTGAATTTATTATTTTACGGCAGCTCATCAGGAATCGGAAGTCATCTTCAGGCACAAAAATTTTTAAAACATGATCCATAAATACCGTGGAGAGGCAAACCTCTCAAGATACCCATGGGCAGGAGCGGCATCCACCTTCCTTCACCGCGTCACACTCGACACTGAGAGCAGCTGCTGGGCACAAGCACGAGTCCGTCGATACCTATTAATATAAAAGAATATCCGTCCAGTGACAGGCATGTGTAGTTTTGGGTAGTCTGCATGACACAACGCAACGTTAAATGATGCCATAAATGCAAGTAGTAGTAGTGGTAGTATAATAGTTTGCTAACGCTTCAGCTATCAAGCTATTTCGCACCGGAGGTCAAAATGTCGCATCGCCAACGAGGCGGAAGGTCTCAGTTATTCAATATCTCAAATTAATCATCGCTACAAGGGGCGGTAGGTCTCAATTGTCCAGCTCGCTGAAGCTGGCTCGAAGGAAGCAGCGTTAGCATCTCAAAGAGACGAAGTGACAAGGAGGGACAGGTGAAAAGCAACAGAAACGAAGACACTGGAACAAGAGGTCGCTTACACGGGACGTCGGCCGTCCGCACGAGAGAGACAGAGGAGGGAAATGTAAGGAATCCTACCTACATAATAACTCAACCCCACAACTGAGACCTGCAGTCAGACACCGCGAGCTCAGCGGGGAGCGCTCAGGAACAATCCCCCTAGGAGCGCGAACAATCCCCCTAGGTCCCTCAGGGGGGGAAGTCCCCCCCTGAGGGACCATTAATGCAATTAGATCAGCATGATTATATGCTATTTTTTAATTAGTGCAAGAGAAAATGAGCCTTGGAAGTTGTACTCTTTTGCGAAAAATATTCAGCTTAATTATAGAGCTATACTATAAAACCATATAAACACTATAAAATTTACAAAAATATTATCGAACTTATTCATTAAAATTTTCACGCTAAATTATAAAAAACTTGAATTAGTGTGCAAAATACACATCATACGTTACTAATTGAGGCTATTTTTGGTTATTATATATGTTGACGTGGTAGCTGACACATTCATTAATAATTGAAAGTAAATTAAACCTCAGTTGTAATCTCCGTGGAGTTTTATTGACAGGATTCAAAATGGCTTTTTGGGGAGAGAGCCGTCAATTCCGGGATTGTAATGCGAGGTGAGCATCTAATAGCATTATGAACTGATGATTACAATACAAGAAAATTATTATGATTTATTTCATATTTTGCAAGCACGATGCTGACTTTTAAGAAAAAGAATTCATAGTGAATGCGAACAAACATGCTGACCGGGGAGTTTAATTGAGAAGTTCAGAAAAAATAACTTTTCCTGTTAAGTTAGCATGAAATTATTTCGCCAGTTTATTTTAAAAATATTAAATTCTTCACATCAGTTCTCAAATAATAACCTTCACAGTTCATGATTAATTACCTTTTCAGTTCAGCGCGAAAACGACACCCACTAATTTCAGTTCGCGTATGATAACCTCTTCAATTATGTTATGTTGCGTCAAATCAACGACGTTACAGATTATGCAAGAAGAAACTGAAGCCCCTAAGGCTGTCCAGAGAACAAAGGAGAGGCTTTTAGGAATGCCTTGCATGAAGTAAGTAAACGAATCTCGTTTAATGTTCATTTTGGTATAGTTTATATTGAATTCCTATAATTCTGCAGCTATTGGAAAAAATAAAGTAACATTAGCCACGGTGTTATGAGATATAAATTTTAAAATAAAAATTTAAATCCACTCTTCCTATTGCGAGTCTTCAACCTCGAGTTACTAATTATGCTAAGACTGAGGCTGAGTGCGACATCAAAGTCTACTGCCTGAGGTCACGTCTACTGCCTGAGGTCACGTCTACTGCCCGAGGTCACGTCTACTACCCGAGGTCACGTCTACTGCCCGAGGTCACCTCTACTGCCCGAGGTCACGTCTACTGCCCGAGGTCACGTCTACTGCCCAAGGTCGCATCTACTGCCCGAGGTCACATCTACTGCCGAAGTCACATCTACTGCCCGAGGTCACATCTACTGCCCAAGGTCACATCTACTGCCCGAGGTCACGTCTACTGCCCGAGGTTACGTCTACTGTCTGAGGTCACGTTTGCTGTCAGCAATTCAACTTGCAGAGCAGCAGAATGAGTCTCTAATTGGCCACACACTAGACTGTCAGTGATTATTTGTCTCCAAGAACTAATTATCAGTTCAACATGGCAATTTGTTTGTAAGACGAAAGTTCGTCTCATGAAAGAATTAAAAAAATCTCGTTCAATCTTTGTAATTGCAGCACCCTTGATCGAGCTACCCAAAGCTGTGGTGGTGCAGTGGTGAGAGACTCAGTCTCTCGCACCCAGCGCCCGGGTTCGAGTCCCACTGAGGCAAGTTCTGCCGGGAAGCTCAGCTCATGGTCAACTCAGCCATTCATCCAACTCTGGTTAATAAATGAGTACCTGGCTTGTCCAGGGTGTTGTGTAATGCAATCAAAATGGTTCTGGCGGGTCAGCGAGCCAGTGATGGTCGTAGAACTACCAGTGGCACCGAGTGCCCGGAAAAACTGACCTATCACCCCCCTTCCCTAGTCGCCACTACCAGGATGGGCAATTACAACAACAACAGCTACCCAGGTCCGTGCACTCAAGAACCTCTGAAGCCTCAAAATATTTTATTAAACAGTCCGCCATAGTGAATAGGTAAAACGCAACCCATAGAAAATGAATTCGAGGGGGTACAGCGATATTTCAAAATGATACGAATATCGGATGGAGCGATGGTCATGTTACTCATGTGAGCATCATAAAGATACTGCTACTTCTAATAAAAAAAGTAACGATAAAAAATTATTCTACAGTGCAGATCACCAACCAGACGAAACTGAGCGCAGATGAATTCAATCGACGACGCTACCGCGGTTGTCGATGTTACTCCGTTGCAACTGCCACGGAGCGCTTACTAACGAAAAGTACACTTATCGAACCAAACTTGTTAAAAAATATATACTAATAAAATACGCTATTAGAGCGGAAGATTTAAAAATTAAAATGCAAAGTAAATAAAGTATAAACCTAGTAAAGCAACAGACTAATTTCAACACGTGCCGGAAGTCGAATTCCCAATGATTTTTGAGCGACGATTGTACCAAAACTTTGCTCCGACTTCCAGTTATTCTGCTACGGTCAACTTTCACCGTAGATACAAACTTTCGCCGAGTTTCTATCGTGGATTTCAAGTGAGTGAAACTATAGAAATACTTCATTTTTGGCATCAATTATATTAAGAACAACTAAATTTTCCAGATAATGACACAAAAAATGTAACTCAGTACTCATTGCACTGAGTGGCAGAGAGCGCATTTTCTCGTCGACGAAAACATAAAGTCACGGACGGACAGACAGAGGGACATGGCGAGCACAATAGTGCATTTTTTCATAAATGAGAAAATGCGCTAAAAAGACACGCATGTAACAAGAAGAATTCGATCTTGAATATCTCAAAGAAGATTCGAATCGTAAAATCTCATAACTGATAAAGGTTCTCGTGTCAACCGGATAGGAATTTTAACATTAAACATGTATGTGGCACCAGAAAGCTTCATACTTATTGGGAATTTTGGGAAAGGGAGGCACTATGAATTTTGAGGAGTGTTGGTTTTAGGGCATGGTATAGTGGAAGTCTTGGAAGGAGATGTTGCATAGTTTGACTAGAGGCATTCCCTGCACATCGGCTAAGGACCAAAGATGCGGTGCTTTGCCACTGCTTGGTTTTGGCTCAGTGGCGCATTTTCAATTCGCAGCTGTTATAATGTTCAGATAAAGTTAATAGAAGGAAAATTGTTTCTATTTTTAAAGTTTCCTGCATTCAAAAATTATTTTCTAAAAGAAGAACATTCCGCGCACTTCTGTTAACGATTAGATATAGGAGAGGATTCATGCAGCCGAAATCACCAGCTCTAGAAATAGATAAGTAATGAATAGATATATTCCATACCTGAGTGTGGGGATGATCCGTTCATATACTGTATAATGGCCGAATGTTCAAATATTTCAAAAGCCCAGGCTATTTTATACTTAATTTTAAAAGTTCCGAAGTTTCTCACCGTTAAAGAGCTCCTCGCCCAGCGGTATCAAGAGCGGTACCAAGAAGTTCGCGGCCATCTTGGTCCGTTGTCACCTGAGAAGACGAACAGAATACAGGTATGGTAAGACATTGGTTACGTGTGATAGAATGGGGTTAAAAGTTACCTCTCACAAATCATTACTAATAATTATATATAAATCCTTTTTCAAATACTCAGAAACGAATATAGAAAAAAAAAACAAATAAATAAATAGAAGCGAATGACTGAAGTGACTTTCAATAAAGTTCAAGATAAAATTAGTTGCATGAGAATCGTAGACAATTAATGTAGATGAAAATGATAAACCTTCATAACTAGGATCGAAGATCACTAGGAATGAAGGTCACTAGGGAAGAAGGCCACAAGGAATGAAGGCCACTAGGAATGAAGGCCACTAGGAATGAAGGCCACTAGGAATGAAGGCCACTAGGAATGAAGGTCACTAGGAATGAAGGCCACTAGGAAGGAAGGCCAGTATGAATGAAGGTCAGGTAGAATGCAGGTCAAGTTCAATTTAAGGTATTGGTTGTTCTTTCCAGTAAATTATAGTCTGCTGCGTATGAGGTAATCATTAGAACAAAGATATTCTAAATAAATTCAGATCTAATTCATTATAAAACAGAATAAAATAAATCCGAACTGTGTGAATGTAAATTATATTAAATCTTGAAACTTATGATGCAATGAATTATCCTGAATTGAACGCATCGACGGAGAAGTTATCTGGACGGAATAGAGGACAAGAAGATCGAGCTTCTTCACATTTTTTCCATTACGTGGACGCATTTACTTTCTTCTGAATAAATTATTCAATGAATGAATTAGACGTAAATCAAATTTAAATTAAGTTTAACTACACGTAAAAGTTGAATTTTTTACGACCTACGTCCACTAAATAAGCAGTTGAACATCACTTCAATTATAGAGAATTTATTGAGGACATGCATCAAGATTGGAATGGTTCACTGGACCACAGGATTGAGTTCAGCTCAAGGATGAGGCTATTAAAGTGGAGACGCTGAGTGGCTGACAACTGACAACAGCAGAGCATTCGTCTCCGTTTGCCTTGACAATGTGAAGCACCGCAACCATGCTTCACCATCGGTAACTTGTCGAGGTTGTGAATATGATAAGGAATACGCTACGACTATTAGCAGGGACATAATCGATAATTCGTTGTTGACTTGAGAAAAACAAAAAGGTTTCCCATCAAACAAATGTGCTTGTGTCTAATTTTTGAATAATCGTGCGTTGATAAAGGCTATTAGCTCCTATAATTTTATACTAACATTTTAGTACTTCAATAGGTAATAAGTAATCAATTGTAATTTCTATCGTTACAACTAATCCAGTTAATCAATTGGCAAGTCATGACAGCTAAGAAGTCTAGAGTAAAGGCAAGATGGAAATGACTGCCTAGAATTGTTAAAAATCTCCAAGATTTCGCCGCGCTCTCAAGGAACGTTAAAAGGGAAATACGATTAGAGCTCGGCCTATGGATTGTTAGCGAATATAGCAACGAAATAAGCGTGCAATTAAGTTTATTTGTATGGATATTCGACTGAGTAATGCTGGACTGAGAACAGTGAAGGAACCGAGGTATTGAACATGCGTTCAAACCAACCAAACTCATAAGCCAAAAATATAAAAAATGATAGTCACAATGTAAGCAACTTTTGAAGCTGTAACATGTTATTCTCGATGAATGTGGAAAAGTATAATCAGTTAATATAGATAAGTGTGGGCAACAATAATCAGTTACTTTATATAGAATTGGGAGGTGTTACCCCCCCCCCCAAGTTATTTTACATTATTGTGGCAAAGCATAATCAGGTATTATAGATAAACATTTGAAAATATGATCAGTCATTCACCCAAACGAGAAAGTAAAAACCACTATCGATGTACTGCAACGAAGTTCTCTCAAAGCATGAAAATCACGAGCCAATAATACCCCTACTAGAAATAAAGAGTTTAACCAACAGAGATGTTGTTAATGAACAACACAGAGACTGCCTCTAACCAACAGATATTTTCATTGACCAACAGTGTTATAACCATGACATCATTGCTGCGCCAGAGGATATGTTTCACTAATCCTGATCACTTACACGCGAGTCTCCCACGGGCGACAGCCCCTAAGGCTGGGATGGATGAGCAAAGTTACGACGGCTGAGCTAACTTGCGCACCAGCGATACTAAATACGAGCGAGTGTAGGATACTGAGCTTACACGTTGATAAGTGTACGAGGACGCGATCATGTTACACATTCCACAAGTTATACGCAGACTAACGTTGTGGAGGTCACCGACACACCAACTCAACCTGCATGATCGAATAGAGACATTTGGTCACTGATAGTCTTCAATTAAAATCACTGTATTGCACAAATCCATCCACTATAGTACGTGCAATCCACGTGCTGGCCAAACTGACTTTTCATCTGAAAAGATGGAAAAGCATAAACTAAAATGGCGCCGAACAACTTCGAAATAATGAATGAATTTCGAGTAAAATCACATGAAAGATGATGCAATACGAGCTTTACCCTACAGCCTGCGAGGAAAGCAGCAGGCGAAACCAATACACCTTACACGTTATACTCATACAAGAGTGCGAGGGAAGCATATATAGCAGGCGAAGCTAATATACCTCACAAGGTGTGTTAGCCGCAAAGACTTACGAGGTGCAGGCGAGCCTCAGACGCGGCTCCAATAATTGCAATATAAATATAGTTAGCATTCCGGATCAACGACTCACCAGAGGTTGGAGGAAGCAATGAGAAGTGTGTTTTGCAATAAAGTTATTTACTTAATCCGGAATATGAAGTTATATATTGTTTACAGGAGCCTTAATCTTCTACATGACAAACGGCAACGTCACCTCCACAATAGAAGGTGAGCCTTCTTCTCCCCTCTCTCCAAGCTCCTAATTCAATCAACGGAAAGATGTCGGTAAAAGCTGCTGTATTAATAATTATTGGTTCTATCCCAATAAATGTTTATGCCCATATTACACTGTTGGACTAAACCTACTAGTGTACTAGATACTAATGTCGCTATTACCAGTGACTAGTTAGGGTTGTGACTGCAGTCTCCTCATTCATCCCACTATCAACGCTATAGGGCTCAGAAATGAAAAAAATGTAAGGAAGCTGTTGAAATCGAATTATATTCTCAAATTTCAATGTGAATGATATATAACCACTGACATATGAATATTGCATATATCAAATCAGAGCTGGACGGCCTTAGGCGTGCGATATAGCTATAGGCCTCGCATGATGCTGCGCTTAGCGCGAGGACAAGCTTATGTGCGTGTAGAGTGTGAGGGCGGCTGAGACGAGGGTTTTTGCAGAAGTAAAACCAGTGTAGTATCCTCAGCGTCTATGCCAAGTCTTTAATTGCTTTATAATTAACATATGAACTTCAAATTGAATACCGAGAAGCAACATGTCTCGACAAGAAAATTTTAAAAATTTACACCACAATAAAGAATTTTTGAGAAACATTACTTGAAATACGACCCCAAAAATAAAAAAAACGTTAAATTCGAAATTAACGGTTAAGCGCTTTTCGAGGTTTTCGGGCGTGCGGAAAACCATTTAATCGCCCAAGTAGAGGCGGGCAGTTTTTAGCGAAGGCAGCCTTCTCCGTAGGTCATATAACGAGGGAAATGTTTTGCCCGAGCCAATGTTTACTGATAAGCAGTTGGGCAAAAAGTAAAGCGAAAGGGCGTCTAATATCCGGCAACTTGCTGTTGGTAGGGAAAGAAATCAGAAATCGGCTCATTATTAATAAAAAACGTAAGTACTGACTTCTCAGACTATAATAAGCTTGCGCAATAAACTGCACGTAGCAAAGGACCAAACTCTCCACAGCTGCAACTAATGAAGACTGAAATATTGAAAGAATACGGATAGTCAGGAAGTTAAATGAACCTGTCTTTGAGCAGTGAAGTTCTAAGCGGTTCTCAGCGACCAATAAGTCTTGCCGTTTCTCCTCTGATGGAGGCAGTCAATTTCACGCCAGTATGGAAATTAATATCGGATAATTCATCAGCGCTAGAGCTTAGCGATTGATTCTAAAAGCTCCTTTACCAAGTGGGAAACGTTGTTTGTCATCTAAGATAAAATTTTGCTAGTAGGTAAAACAATACTGATGTTGAGGAGATATGGTTGCTTTAGAGCGAATGTAGGCACTAGATGTACCGAGGAACCAATAAAAATCTACGATATGCATGCGTTGATGCAATGGTGTAATTTTTTTAGATATGGGCGTAAATAATGTTGATATTTTCATCAGAGAAAAAAAATAATTCTGGGCAACGAATCAGTGTGATTATGGTTCCCAGATGACGAAATTACAACCACAATCTACTGACGCTTCTCCAATTCTACATTGTGAGGTAAAATTAACCGGAGTTACAGGATCCTATTCTGGAGTTAAAGGTTTTAAGAAGCGTCGACATGCGCGTTCAGATTCGGCGTGAATAATGTAACCAGATATCGAGGTTGCTCCAGAACGGTGTAACTCTAATGTAATGAAAGGCAATGACTTCATGAACTGCAGTCGAAGGAGCTCAAAGAATTCAGGTGATGTATACACTCCGGAAACTTCGTTTGCATCTGTCCAAACTCACATCGGGGTCTAGAACGCCCGCTCGTTATCGTTCGACTAATGAGCCTGGCAAAAACCACTTAAAACACTCGTTTATTTTTCGCCCCACAGAAGCGCGTCTGCAGACTAAAATTTCTGTAAGTATTTGAAACTTTAGAAAAAGGTATTAAAATATTGGGCTAAAAAAACTTTCCTTTAATGCACAACTGAACAGGGCATCTTGTTGCTTTCCATGCGATGCAATCGATAATCTATTTCGTAAGCAACCTAGATGAGGTTTGGGTGCAACACTATACAATAAATGTTCGCCATCACATTTAACGCAATTATTTTTAAATTATTTACAAGAAATACTATTACATTTCTATTATTTTCAAAGCAATTACAGACGACATTCTAATTAGCGTCAAGGGGATAAATTTTACTTAACTTT